TGGAAAGATTGTAGAGGCACCCTTGCCTAGACATAGGAAATAAGGGAAGTGTATTTTCTGAATTTTTTTTTTTCTCCACGGCTGTTTTTTTCCACATTTATACAATGGATTATACATAGGGAAGGAAGGCCTCATGTAATAAAGACTTGTGGACAATTTTTCATCTAATCAGATGTCCATTAGAAATTGTTAAAGCAGAACTACAATATCTGAAAATGCTAGTTAAAGGATAAGTTCACCTTTGAGAACATGTAACATGTTCCCACTCCTGCAGCTACAGTCCGATCCACTGCCTCCCGGTGACAGTGGTAGTGGGTTTGGGGAGATCCCCGACACCTATTGGAAGAAAAAAAAAAAATGCAGCCATGTGGGGCTCCACCCACCCAGCAACATCATTCATTCACAGAGTTCTGTGAATGGAGGAACTACAAGAACTGACAGCCTTTGCGGCTGTCGGATTGTAGTTCTCAATGAACTACCAGGACACTGTTGAACACTCTGGTAACCCATTGATTCTTCCTGTCATTCAGTAACTCCCTGCGTGTACAAAGCAGAATACAATAGATCAGTGGGAGTGAATCACCTAGATTATGACCGGATTCCCCCATCTACACAATGTTTAATTTTTTAGTTGAATGAAAAAATGACTAATGTTTGGGCTGCCTATGACATCTGGGCTGTGAAGTTTGAGTTGAAGCCAAGAGGTCATAGAGAATTCCAAGTCTTGCTTGCATGTCTGCACAGCAACTAGGAAACAGTGACAAAGCCACAAGACACAGCTTTTCAAACATGCATGCACCTTTTTTCATTTGTAATTCCAGCGTGTCGACATTTAAAAAATGAAAAAAAAAAACAAACCTTTAAGTCTGCTTGAAGAGTGAAGCTTTGTGATATGTGTTATAGTTGCAAACAAAGCAAAAACCTGGGAACAACTGCAATAAAGAAAGATGATGTTCCCAGAACAATCCCTTCACGGTTCGGACGGACTTGTACAGACTAATCAAAACCAGAATACTCCTGCCAGAAAGAAAGCATTATTTGAGCAGGAAGAACATGGAGATGAAAAATGGTCAAACCCATGTTACAAGCAGCTGGTTTACCCAAGGCCCTGTTATGGGAGCCATGCCGACACGTGTTTACAAGACTGCCATGGAGACACTCACAGCCTGTCAGTGAGCAGGGCAGTGGCACAATATTAATTTATCTGAAGATAAATAAAATACAGCACAGTTGGCTGATTTGAAGAATTCACCCCCCTGAGATTGAAACCAAAAAATTTCCAGTAAAGATGAACTATTGTTAAAAGCGAAGTACAGCCAGTCATTGTATATAGTGTCAAGAAAACGAAAAACAGTCAACAACTGCAAAGGTGGTAACAGAGCACAGATGTTCAAAATGTGATGTCTTGCAACAGCTGAAAACACATTCTACTGTCAATCCGGGACTTGTTACATCTATATATCTGCCCCATAGAGTGGAATGCCTCACGGATCAACATCTAAAAAGGAGGACTAGATGACAGCACAAAGTTATGCCTTCAGTGTTTGAAGCTCGGTTCTCCCTCTAGTTTCAACAGCTGACACAATGGTAATATAGAACCAATGACAGCTACCAAACATTAGATGTATGCAAGATGATTTAGGCCTGATTTAAGCCGGCAGCAAGATCCTGCATAAAAAGTTGTGCATACTACGTCTGAACCACATGGCCAAAGAGTCCATAGAGCCTAGCAAAACTAAGGCTAAGTTCACCTTTTTTTTTCCCCCTGAAGTAAAGCTTCCCTATGTACCAATATACCATTAATGTACCTATGTTGCAGAAATGAATAGGCTGTCCCTATGTTCTGGAGCAGGCCTCACCTCAGCCTGTGTTTTCCTCCACAGAAAACTTCTCCATGACTTCCTGGTATATGTCCTGCAGGATGCCAGAGCTGTTAGTAGAGTGCGATGACCAGCATTAAGCCATTTGCACAAAGGCGTTTAGCTCATGCTTTGATTAGCAGATTAGGGGGTCATTCAGATGGGGCTGAGACCTGTCTTCTGCGATGAGCCACTGTATGCAGATGCAGTGGCTGCATAGACACAGTCGCATGTCAGAATTTGACCTGCGTCTGTGTCCATGCAGCCACTTCGTCTGCATGCTCTTCAATGGGCTACCTTTTCGCTGCTCTAAGGTAGACACATCAAATAGTGAGAGTGGCCAAATTGCAGTGGGAGAATCTTAAAGGGATCTTCCAAGAATGCGCACAGAAATGCATGTTTCCACACATGTTCCTGAAACACATGGAAAGTGTGTGTTGCAGTGTCATTAATTGTTAGATGCAGAAGCAAATGTAACAAATACGGCGAAAAGCACAGTAAAAAAAAACATGTAAAAATGTTCCATGAGCTACTCTGCAACATTTCTCATGCATAGGTCTGCCCATTGAAATCAATGAGCTGCCCTATGCATGGCGTGGAAAGAGCACACCAAAAAACAAGCACTCCCACTATGATAAGTGTGAATGGGGCCTGAAAGTGAACTTGGTTTGTTTACAGCCTCCTTGAGCTGCAGCTGGATTACAAAAATAATGACATCTAAGGGTCTCCACCCACTCCCTCCCATGTACTTGTAAAAAGCAGGCAATAGAAAAGTGGGTGGGAATAAAAATAAGAATATGTACTGTATTTTTCGCCGTATAAGACGCACCTGACCATAAGACGCACCTAGGTTTTAGAGGCAGAAAACAGGAAAAAAAAATTCTGAACTAATGGACTGCAGACACAGTACAGGAGATAACCAGAGACTACGGACAGCACAGGCATGACCAGAGACTGCGGACAGCACAGGCATGACCAGAGACTGCGGACAGCACAGGCATGACCAGAGACTGCGGACAGCACAGGCATGACCAGAGACTGCGGACAGCACAGGCATGACCAGAGACTGCGGACAGCACAGGGATGACCAGAGACTGCGGACAGCACAGGGATGACCAGAGACTGCGGACAGCACAGGGATGACCAGAGACTGCGGACAGCACAGGGATGACCAGAGATGCGGACAGCACAGGGATGACCAGAGACTGCGGACAGCACAGGGATGACCAGAGACTGCGGACAGCACAGGGATGACCAGAGACTGCGGACAGCACAGGGATGACCAGAGACTGCGGACAGCACAGGGATGACCAGAGACTGCGGACAGCACAGGGATGACCAGAGACTGCGGACAGCACAGATGACTGCTGACCTTTGGGGAGGTGGGGAGCGGGTACCTGAATTTGACAGGAACCCGCTCTTACTTCCGCAGAGTTTTTGTTTGATCTTACCTGTTCCTCGATCCAGCCGCGCGCTGTCATCCCGGCTTCTGTAATGGCGCTCGGCATGACAGCCGGGTGCCCAGTGCGCATGAGCGAGAAGCACTTGCGCTTTGTGATTGGTCCGTCGGCTTCTGGGATCTGTCATGTGTCCCAGGTACCGCCTTACCATTCACAAAAAGCACCGCTTCTTGCACATGCGCACTTGGCACCCGGCTGTCATGCCCAGTGCCCACACTACAGAAGCCGGGAAGACAGCGCGCCGCTGGATAGAGGAACAGGTAAGGTCCCGCTGCAGAGCTGAGCGGCCGGCCCGGTATTCTGACACGGCCGCGGTGAAAATACCGGACCGGCCGCTCCATATTCGCTCCATAAGACGCACTGACATTTCCCCCCCAGTTTTGGGGAAGAAAAAGTGCGTCTTATACGGCAAAAAATACAGTACTTTCATGGATGCGACAGGAAGCCAAGGGCTAAGTTCAAGGTTGCCATGGACTAGGTAATTGACAGACAGACAGACATGCTGAAATGGCTTGGGCAGAATAGACATTAGAAAAGGCTTCAATTTATAATGAAAAGTGAAATTCTGTTTGAAAAGGTGAACTTGGCCCTTAAATACTGCAAGCTGCTAATAAGTGTGAAGTGAAAGCAACCAGAGGAATTTGCATGTCATATTTGTCAGCAGCTTTCAGTATTCTTGAAGCAACAGAGTTCCTTTATGTGCAGGCACCAAAAGGAATGTGCAAGTACCTGCGTTTGTCCTGAAACCCTTACCTATGTACCCAAGCACAAACTGAAACAAGGTCTCACTTGCAGCTCTGCCATATCTCCCCAAATTGCCCCAATATTCATTGAAAGTCATGAAATATGATTTCATTTAAAGCGGAACTCCAGTCTCCAGGGAAAAAAAAAATAAAAGTCAGCAGCTACAAAATCTGTAGCAGCTAACTTTTTAAAAAACAGCCACTCACCTGTACCTTGATCCAGCGGTGTGCTCACCCCAGCCGGGTTCACCAGCTGTCCTCTGTCCGCAGTGCCAGCATCAAAAGTGGGGGCACACGCTGCACATGGGAAGTGGTCTCGCAGTCTTCTGAGACCGGGCACGTGTCCCAGAAGACTGCAGGTGGGGGCTGGGAAGAAACTCCACTTCTGATCGCCTAGGTGGCGGAGCAGAAGTGGGAGCAGGTTTCTGTAAAAGTCTGGTACAATCTCCCTAAAGGTGCCAATTCCTAACAGGGAGCAGGAAATGAGTTGTTATAGCGGAACGTCCCCTTCTGGGCGAAGCTCTGCTTTAGGTCAGTGTAATTAGGTCAAATATGTATTTCGGTAGGGTATACACAGACTGAAAATCAGCCGATTCAGCAGGAACCATCTGACTTTCGGTCCATGCGTACAGCGGTCTGTTCAACAGAAGCCAGTGTAACAAGTGGCTTATGTCAAAAGGTCCTGCTGGAAAACCATCCTTCAATCAGCAGGGGGAAGAAGGGAGGGGGGGTTGGAGTCCCTCCTGTCAGAATATAATACCATGGCAGGGGAGATCCCTGTAACACATATTTGCTTGTGTTGATGTGGGGATCCATCAGTTTTTTTTTTTGGTTCAATCAGTAGGGTATACCCAGCTTTACTACACACAAGATGATGACTGAGCTTTTTTTAAATTTACATTATGAACATATCTTCATATAAGCAAGGAAGAACTTACCATTTTTATGATATCTGGGTATGCAGACTCTACAATTACCCCTCGATTTGTAGATACATATTCAACCAGTTCATTCAGAGTGGCTCTTTTTATTTCTTTGCTCTTCAGATCAGCTATTGAGTCTATAAAATCAAAGAGCACACAGCACTGCTGCAGCTTCTGACAGAAGAGGTCTTGCTGGTCATTGCAAGTGGCATCTACAAGAGAAAACATACAGAGATACATGATTTGCTGTGTGTTTGTAAGAATATCTGGTTGATTACACTTATGCCAATAAAACAAGTATCTGATTGCCTCAATAAAGCCGGTCAGAGGCTTCTTTTTTGTTGTAAGCAAAATCGTCACAACTAAAAAATAAAACAGAAAGCAACTGAAAGCTCTTGAACATGCATAACACTGAACCTCTTACAATCACCAAGGATGGATAAGAATACCAAAATGATGTAAACCACAACTTGTTACAACAGGCAATGTATTTGTTTAACACTAACAAATATATAAATATTTAACAACAATTTAATAGGGGGCGTGGCTCGGCGCATGGAGCTGTAGGACGTGTCCCTCGGCAGCTCCTCGTCCTCATTCCTCCCTCAGGGCTATTTACGCTCACCAATGATCCTTAAACCCCACACATGGGCAAAAACCAGCACAGGGACCCCAAAAAGTCCAGAGGGGGACGCTCTGGAGGCGATCTGGGCAGCTTTTTCACTAGATCCGCGACCATGGCCTTGCATACCCCGGCCGGCAAGATGGCACCGGTGCCTCTTTTTCCTCCTGGTACAGAGCCTTCGACCGACCTACAGGTGAGCTCCCACAGCCGCCTCTCCTCCCCTGGTGTCTCAGATGGCTCTCTCAACGCTCCCGCAGCCTCTACCAAACTTCATTATGTTCTCGGGATGGCTGGGACCTGCAGTCCCACATCAGATCTCTGCATTCCTATATTAAGTCCATTCCTACCAAGGATGATTTTGAGCACTGTGTAAAGCGCATTGAAAAGACATATAAAACAGGAGATATCAGAACTTAAAAAAAAAATATATGCATCCGCATGGAAGAAACTGAAAACACCTCTGATGGACTTTGTAACACCTTGCAATCCCATGAAGAGACCAATTCTCACACGGTACTATTACAGCAACTTATGTACCAGGATGACATAGAAAACAGGAACCATTGCAACAATATCAAAATTCAGGGCAGTCTGGAATCTGTGGAACCTAAGGACTTAGCAGCAGCTACTGCTATTTTCAATCAACTAATGCAACTGTCCACAGATGCGCCCACTGAATTGGATTGGGTACATAGGACCATAGGCCCAAGAAATCCAGACCCCTCATTTGTTCGCAACCCGCTGTGTAGAGTTCATTATTACAAGGTCAAAAATGCATTCATGCGCACAGCCAGTACACAAGACACCATACTCTCTAACAGGATCCTGTCCTGCTTCTTCCTGACCTCTCCAGTCAGATCCTGAATATGCGCACGGTCTTAAAGCCGCTCACGCAATTATTTCAAGAGCACCACATCCGGCACCAGTGGAGATTCCCTTTTCAACGCCGAGCCTCCCACAATGGCAAGACTGCAGTTTTACAATCTTGGGGATTTACCCAACTTCCTTGGCACCTTTGAACTGCCCCAAGTGTCTTTACCGGATTGGCCTTTTCCACAGACAACACCAGCATTACCTTTCACCCCACAATAGCAACAACATGGCAAGAAGAAACGTCCACCTCCCACAAGGCCTGGGATGACTGACTCTCTGCCTAATTGGGGGGGGGGGGGGGTTCCCTCTTTGCCTCCTCGAGGGTTTGTATCCATGGAGTGCAACCTTATGTGGTTTTGCTATTTGTTTACTGCTGCATCCCCCTGTATGTGTCCCCTAGTTGGGGGGTGCGGTGCTTCCTACAATTTTATGGGGTATTTCACTATTTTTGCCTTCCGCTATCCCCGGAACTCCCTATCCTGCACACTTAATCCATTTGTGTGGTTACCAAAAAACAAAATTGTATCTTAATTTTTTGCGAGGGTCTACTTCACCTTTTTTGGGTGTTGCTCAGCTGAGTGATCTTCCACTCCATTCATTCCCTGTGGGAGGCATGGATCAGGATCTGCTCTGTGTGCCTTTGATGTTCCTCACCTAGGCCTCTCGGTGATACCGTTACGCACAGTTTGATGTTTGGACAGATTTCTGTCTGTTGGTTATTTCTTATATGTTTACTGTACTCTTTGGAGGAACCTAGTGGCTCTCCCTCTTTTCTTACTTTTCGGGTGGATTCCATCGCCATACCTGCATTCATCCACGACCTGCCTATATGGAGTTGGCTATCCTACCCTCTCTTTCCTCTACCTTTCTATCCTGTGCCATTTTTCCTCTCTTCCACTTCTTTCTGACCTTTACTTGGTCTGTATCTTCCTTTCCCTTTTCCCCTATCCACTCCACCTTTTTTTACTCAAGGATCAGTTCACCTTTACACAAAAAATAATAAATGCACATTTTGTTCAGGTAACAAGAAAGTATGATATACAGTACTTTCCTATTTACTAATGCTAGCAGCAAAAGGCTTAAAAAGAGTCAATGTTGAGTAGGAGCATGAAGATCCGTTTTAAGTACCACTAAATATCCATTTTCTCTAAAAATAACCCATATAAAAATAAACTACTTAATGGTTCTGCAATCTACTTTTTCATTAAATTGTTTAATGCATTTTTCTACCTTCTTGTAATGTCTCTAGTGAGCTCCCTACCCTCTCCTTTTTCCACTCCCTTCCGTTTGTTTGGAAGGAGCAATGCACACGAGTTGTGGTTATGTGCACTGCTCTATATGCACTACAACTCCCAAAATCCACAGTACATCCTGGGAGCAAGTATGAGAGGGTGGTTATGCACTGGAAATAGCTGCCAGCATAGCCCCAAAACATCTGGTAAGAATGAGCCCTAAGCAGATGTAAAGGCCATGTAACCAAAGCTACTTTATATAGCAAATCATCTGCACTCTGCAACAGCACATAGAAACCATTAGAGCGGCATAGATTTTTTTCCTAATATGGGGTCACATGACCACAACCAGCATCTTCCCTTTAAATCAGCTGCAGCTGTTGTTGGGAAAGATGTGCCAAGATTCACTTCCTGTGACAGGGGAATGGGACTGGAGCCACATGATGCTGACTCTGTCAATCATCACTGGGGAGGGACAAAGTTGGACATGACTGGAATGGCTAGCCTCTTTCACAGGAACAATGCTGACATGTTGGTGGAAGAGGCTATAGCACCATGCAGTGCTTTGCTTTAATGGGATGCAGCTCAGGAAAGGGTGACAACACTGAAATGTTACTGCAACATCATCATGCTACGCAGGTTTCCGTAAAATATCAAGCCTTCACTATCAGTCTGTTTTTGTTCCCATACATACACTAAATATACGTATCTGTAACAGTTTCATTAGCATTTTATTACTGCTAGCTGCAAAGCATCCCTGACTACTGAGTAGGCTTTCTTACTTTGCTATATAATTTTCCACGTGATCAAACACACTGGGGTTCTATAGATGTCCCCACAATGCGCAATGCAAATGTAACAGAAGCATTATTTCAGCCTGCCAAGTAATACTGTATTTTTGATCACAGGAAAATTACAGGTTACTGGGCACAATTCCAGGGAGGTGGCCTTCAGATCTTAGGCTGCAGCTGTAAATGCATGCAAAGGTCTGGTAACAAAAAAGAAAGTTTGCTATTGAGGATGAACACAAGGATAGCAAAATCAAATGCACCTTACCACAACCCTCTAAATGTCTGTTACAGCCATCTGCAGTAAAATTTTGTTATATTTCATAAATTTTGTTCAAGCTTGCCCACCCCTCTCAGCTTCAATCTCATCGATACTGGCCAATGAGGCAGCCAATCGTAGTGATTGACCAATACAAATGTGTCCAAGACAGGAAGGAAAGCACTGCCAGAATGCATCAGTACATTGCTCAATCATACCAGGCTGGGAAATAGCCAGTGGTGGGAACTGAAGGATGATACAGGCATGCGAGGGGGGGGGGGGGGGGGGCGCCTCTAGAAGCTTGCATTTTGTAGCTGTTGTGTTTTGTTTTTTAGTGAGCACCACCTTAAAAGAGAAGTATGGACTTGTTTTTTCCCCATTTATGCTGACTTAGGTGGATGCAGTATTGGCCAATGCCACATCTGTCTGCCGCCGGCTCTAAGTGTGAGAACTCAGCAATCACGACCGCTGATCACTGTCTGCCCCCCCCCCCCCCCCCCCCCCCCCCCAAGGTCTCTGGAGCACTGGGCTCTGGAGGGAGGCGACTGGCTCAGGCTCTCAGCTGATCGCTGAGATGCTGAGCCAAGTGCCGCTCCAGACTCTAGGGTGGATCCCGACTTTAATGTTAGGATCTACCCCCAGCCTGGACCAGGTAAGGCCAGCCATACATGGGTCGATTTCCGAACGATTTTCGTACGAAAATTGGACCTACAAATAATCGGCCGATTTTCGCTCTGTTAGTGGGGCAATGGCATCGGCCGATTTTCGTGTTTCCTCCCCATTTCTTTTATCAGGCATGCTTGAAAATTTGTGAAAAACGACTGATTTTCAAAATCATTGGTGGAACCATCGGATTACAGAACGAACGACATTTTCGATCGAAAAATTGTTTGGAATTCGACACATGTATGGCCTGCATGACATCAGCCGACAGAAGGCTTCAGCACGCTGTCAGCTGCAAATGGGCCACAGCAGTTCAGAACAACCTGCACTCCAGTGACCCACAGAGAAGTACAGCCAAAAGAGCTCTGTACTTTAATCTCTTGCAGCTGCTTATCACACCCGTGTGGCAGCATAACGCCCACTTGCTGCACATATGTGTCAAATGTATGGTCAATGTTTCTGTGCTCCGTGCCTTCACTGCATGCTCCCAGTATAGGGACCAAGATCACATTAACAATCAGTAGCCATCGGGACCCGCTCCCAACCATGTGGCAGCTATTCACAGTGGTCACCAATCCTTTCCGCCTGCTATGCATACAGTCCCTATTAAAGAGACACCAGGGCTGGCCGGGAAGAGGGTTAATGCACAACTCCAGCCACAAAAAGAAAACACTTTTATTTTTAGGTTTTGGATAGGATGGGGTCAGGTTAAAAGTATCAAGTTTCTGTTGCTGTGTATTCATTGGTAAATCTCTAACTGTAGAAAGATCTTTTTTTTGCAAATATGG